CCACTTCGTGCGTGACTCCCCCTGGCGTTTCCAAGACTATGCCCGCGCCTGCCCCTGTCTTGCTTGCCGCGCCATCGACAAACAGCTTCCACCTTCCTTCATCGATTCCCGTAGGCTCGATCGTTCCTTCTGCCACAAAATCTGCTAGGACTTGAGCCTTAATTGAAGGTCGAGGAGCATACTGGATATCGAACTCACTTAGCTCGACTGCCCATTTGGTTAGACGTCCCGAAGCACTTGTGCTGTGAAGAATTCTTTTCATTGGCAGGTTAGTTAGTACAGTGACCGTGTGTCCCTGAAAATAGGGCCTCAGTTTTTGGGCGGCAGTTACCAATGCCAGGGCTGCCTTCTCGATGGCTGGGTACCTTCTTTCAGTTGGGAGAAGCGTCTTGCTAATGTAGTATACCGGCTGATCTGCAAGATTTTCAAGGTGACGCCTAACAAGCACCGCACTGATAGCCACGTCTGATATGGCTATGTAAAGGAACAAACGTTCTCCCTCCTTTGGAGCTACGAGGATGGGGGGATTCACTAGCAGAGTCTTCATCTCTTCGAACGCCTTCTCACATTCTTCCGTCCACTTGAACTTGGATTTCTTCTTTAGAGAATTGAAAAGTGGGGCGCACCTATCCGCTGACCTTGGAATGAACCTGTTAAGAGCGGCGAGTTTACCTGCCAACGCTTGAACCTCTTTTACTGTTCTTGGTGACTTAAGTTCGGAAATCGCTTTTATCTGCTTCGGATTAGCCTCAATACCACGGCGCGTGATCATGAAGCCTAAGAATTGACCCGCACCTGCTCCGAATACACACTTGAGGGGGTTAAGCTTCAGATTGTGGCGCCTCAGGTTCTCGAACGTCTCCCTGAGGTCGCTCAGATGGTCACCCTCTTTCTTGCTCTTGATTAACACATCGTCTACGTACGCCTCCACATTTCGTCCTATCTGCTCTCCAAATACTTTGTCTACCATCCTCTGATAGGTGGCACCCGCGTTTTTCAGACCAAATGGCATCACTACATAGCAGTAGTTCCCGTACGGGGTCATGAAAGCCGTTTTCTCTTGATCCTCTTCGCTGAGAGGGATTTGGTGGTATCCTGAAAACATGTCGAGAAAGCTTAACATTTCGTGGTTGGAGGTGGCATCGACCAGCTGGTCAATTCTTGGTAAGGGGTACGGGTCCTTCGGGCATGCTTTGTTTAGCGAGGTGAAGTCAATACACATTCTCCATGTCCCGTTGTGTTTCTTGACTAACACTGTGTTTGCCAACCACTTCGGGTACTGCACCTCTCGGATGAATCCTGCCTTAAGTAACTTTTGTACCTCTTCCATCATGGCCACCCTCCTTGCCAACGATGCTCCCCTTCTTTTTTGCTGTACCGGCACACTTTCTGGTTTCACGGAGAGCTTATGTTCCATAAGGTCTCTGGAAACTCCTGGCATGTCTTCAGGACTCCAAGCAAACAAGTCTGAGTATTCCCGTAACAAGTTGATCATTGGGAGGCGCATGTGCTCCGGCAAATGGGCTGAGAGTCGGACGACTCGGCTTGGGTCGTCGGGGTCTAATGGCAGCTCAATTTCTGAATCTACCGCTCCTGGGCGCGGCACTTCTGTTGGCCTGGCATCAATCGTGTGTATTTTTGGCTTGTGTAGGGTTGCTGCATAGCACGCCTTTGCTGCCTTCACATCTCCTCTGGCTATCCCCATTCCTTGGGGTGTTTGGAATTTCATTGCTTGATGACAGGTGGAGGCTACAGCTCCAAACTTAGCTAGGAAGGGCCTTCCCAGAATGGCATTATATGCGGACGGGCAATCGGCAATGTGGAAGTCCACTGGATGTGTAGCACTCGGCTCCTCATCTCCTACCTTGACTTTTAGGCGCGCCGTTCCTAACACCTTTACTTTCGCTCCGGAGAAGCCGACAAGTTGGGCCTCTGAAGCTTGCATCATCTCAGGGGGTGTCTGCATTTGGCGCCAACAAGAATAGAAGAGTATGTCAGCGGAACTCCCACTATCCACCAGCACTCTGAACACCTTGAAACCTTCTACTTGTATGTTGATGACGAGAGGGCTTTCAGACGGGCCCTCTGGAGGATAGTCTTGTGATGTGAACGATAGGTCGGGACCATCCTGTTTTGCGATCTTCATACACCATGTGTCGCTTGCTTGCCCCTTGCGCTTCTTCTTTCGGCTAGGCTCCCCTCCCGCGATGGTTCTTATCTCCTTGACGTTCGGGTTGGGGCCTAGGCGCTCCTGTACTGGTGGCCTGGCGACTGGGGAGCGACTGCGTTCCCGCGGGGATTGGTTTCCCTGATCTGCCTTTTGGATCATCTCCCTTACCCCTCCTCGATCGGAGATTATCTTGAGCGCCTTTTTGAAGTAGTGGCAGTCGACGGTGTTGTGAGTGCGCGAGTTGTGGTACTCACAGTACATGTTCGCCTGCCCACGAGATTGGTTCACGTTCTCGCGATTGGTGCGGTCGCGGCGAGGCTCTTGTGAATTTGCAAGAACGTCTCTTCTTACCCAGACATTTGGACGTCGGGTATCATCCCGTCGATCAGGACTCCGCCCTCTGGTCCTAGGCGCCTCGCCCCTCCCACTCTGAGCTGGGCGCCTAGAGCTACCTCCTTGCTCTTCCTCCTTTGACCCTAGCGCCTCCTCCATGAGAATTGCCTTTTGAATTTTTTCCTCCAGCTCGGCCACCTGTCTTATCTCTCTTTTGGCCAGAGAGCGCCTTAGCTCTTCGTTAGTGCTAGCGTCCATTAGGTTGGTGCGCATGAGTGGAGGGGTTAGGTCTTTAACATCGGACGCAACCTCCCACCATCGCCCCATGAAGTGCCTGAGGCTCTCTCCCTTTCTTTGCTTAAGGTTGACAAGTGCCCGGACCGTTAGCGTCTGTCTCTTCTGGCTTGCATACTTCGTTGTGAATAGCAATGCGAATTGAGCGAAGCTCTGAATGATGCCCTCCGGAAGCGATGAGTACCAACTACTGCACGCTCCGGTGAAGGTTGAGGGGAATGCCTTGCACAAGGCGGCGTCGGACGCGTTGAGAAGTTGCATTTTACGGCAGAACGCACTCAAGTGATCCTCTGGATCAGACTTTCCTTCATATGATGGTAGACCGATGCTTGCGAAATTTGGTGGGATTGGTGTCTCGAGCACTCCTTTTGACAATGGTTGTCTAATGATTTGAGAACTTCTTTCCTCCAAGGCGCCATAGTTGAGTCGGGCGTACTTTTCCAAGTAGACGTCGTCGTCTGCTTCCATTGCATCCTCATTTGGCGAGGCGCCTACACCCTCCCTTGGGGAGTTCGTGGGAGGCGCCTCAGCTTCCAGCATTTTTCCTCGGATGCGCCTCCTCTCTTCCATGGCTTCTTGTGAGTTGGGAGGCGCCTGGTCGTTCCCTTTGGTGAGCGCCGTCAATGCGGTCATGACTTGGTCTAGTTGGCCTTGCATGCTCGCCATTTGGAGTGCTTGCTTTTCCCGGAGTTTTGCCAGTTGGTCCTCCATGCGCCCCGCGCCTTCTCCGTTTCCCGATGGGTCCTCGTCGTCGGATGCTTCCAAACCTTGAATGGTGAGTGGTTGAGGGTTGATTGCTTCACGACCAACAACTTGCTTGAGTGGCGTCTTTGTAGGCGCCGGGCTCCTTTCCTCCCCCTTCTTTGAGTTGGAAACGTCTTTCAAAGTCATGCTTGGCCCCACGGTGGGCGCCAATTGTTTGAGCCCGATCGACTGGGGGTCGCTCGGGTCCAAGGGGTTTGGGGTGTCAGCCATGACCTTGAAAGGGTAGGCGCCCCTCCTCGTCCGAAGCAGAAGAAAAGAAGAAGTATGTAGAGAGGGAAAGTAGAGAGAAATTAGAGTAAAGAGTAGATGGATCTTATTTATGAGGAGAGAACTCCTATTTATACACAATTGAGGGTTAGGTAGTGGTCTGGGCGCCTGCCAAGCCATAAATGCTCTGGTCGGGCGCCTCAGACTCTCTGACACTGTTCATAGTCCTTTTGGCAGGGGGTGTCCCCCTACCCCTTGTCCTTGCTGACGTCAGGTGCCTGGGCTTGTCTCCTGCTTTCCAGACTTGTCTTTTTCCTCTTGTCTTCTTTCTTTCTTCATGCCATTAGTTAGAGCTTTGCCTTGGGGGTTACTAATATACCCTATCAAAAACTTAATTTCACGTATGCCTAGGTCAGGTTGAATATACTTACTTGTCTAGTGTCTTCTTGAACCTTGCAATATACTTACTTGGATGTCGGGCTCTACGAAGGTGACACGGCTCTTGACGGTGGTGGATGTACACCTTCAAATAAACCAACATACTAGCTAGCCTTATATTTTTTTTCCCATATCAACTACCAGAGTGATTTGTTAGGATTTCTCATCCTTATAAACATAGAATTTTTTTTAACAATAGTTACACCCTTACAACCATTGGTTCAATCATGATGACACTTGTGATTCTGAAACCTCACATATCAACAAAAAAAACTTTAGATTTTGGTGGAGTGAGTGCCTACTAAAAACAACTAATGTATACACAAACTAGGGTTGGAATGATGAGCTTCTTATACGTGCAGAAAGCCAAACTTAGTGAGGAAGGAAAAAAAATTCCTTCATTCAGTCCAGTAAGTATCCCTTTACTCAAACTTATTACCTGGCCGGCCGGCCAGCTACCTATAGGCTACTATAGATAGCGCCCCCAATAATTTTGTAGCCGCCCCTCCTGCGCTGTGTCTGCGGGCAAAGGATTACCAGTTGTGTTTAGACGACAAACAAGTACACTCTAGTTTCTTTCTTGATTGGTAAGAGGTAAAAACAACCATTATTATTATTTTCAATTTTCATACATCTCCAACGTACGGCAAACCAAAAAAAAAAAAAACATTCTCTTGTTCTCTCTCTCTCTCTAAGTGGGTCGACGTCGGGTACTGAGGTGGGGTTTTTTTTTTTCTTTTTCTCCCTACCTTTATATATATAAAGAAGGTTGGGGAGGGTGGGAAGGCACAGATGTGGGCTTACTTGCATCATCCATCCATCCATTCCCTCTTCTCACTTTTCCTAGCTTTCCCTTTTCTCCCCTCTCTCTCTCTCTCTCACTTGATATTCCTTCTCTCCATTTCTCTAGAGAACTCACACCCCATCTTTCAAAACTAGTGAGGCTTGATCTGTAACTTTGACGAGAGATCATCATCTGAGGAATATTTGTGGGTAGTAGTTGGATCTTCGCTCTCCTTTTACTGGTTTCTGTGGTGTGGGAAAGGTTCTTACTTTCATATAATGCATGAATTAATGGATCCTTCAATCGTCCAGCACCAGATGCAGCAGCAGGTAATTAATTGGACCAAATCTCTAAACCCCCTTTTTTTTAGCTTTGATTGCCTCTTCTTAAATAGTGCTCTCTAATACTCTTTTTTTTCCCCCGGTAATTCCCTGGCTTGCTGCTGACTTGTGCCTTTAGTTCTGGAGCTAATTAATTTATTTCCCCCGGTTTCCTTGTGAGAGCTTTCTGGGTTCAATTTCCAGCTCTAGTTCATAGCTAGCTAGCTATCTGGGTTTTTTTTTTCTCTCTCCTTGCACCCTAATCATCTTCTCCAGATTTAAGATCAGGGTAGGTCGAGATAATGTTTTCTATGGACAATTATATTTCTAGGTTATATATATTCTCGGGAACCAGGATTTGGTATGGTGACATTATCATCTAGTTTGGACATAGAGGTTTCAGATTTGAATTACTAGAATTAGTACTCAATTATAAAAACCAAACATATTAATGTGAAGGTGTATCTAAAGGGTTTATGTTCTTGCCGACATTTTCGTACTGTTCTTTCTTGGATCCGTGGAGGAGGTGTAAGAGAAAGGCAAAGGAAAACTAATTATTAGGAGATCATCATGTAAATCATAGCTACCTACTTAGCCTAGAAAACTAGCTAGGTCGGCAGCTTAACATTTGTAGTAGCAGCAGCATAATTATTCCTACACAGCAATACAGATCATTGATTCAAACCCTACCTGCAGCAGCAGCAGCCATGAACATTTACGAGATCCTTAATTATCAGTTATAAATATCATCATCGCTGCAAATTAATACAATTACATTGCTACCATCCACCAAAATTCAGACCATCATTAATAACAAATATACTAACTACTTAGGTTCCGGATTTGGACATTTGCAGGAAATGTCGTCACACTCACTCGAGACCATGCTGCAGTCCAACTGCTCCTCCGCCGCCGCCGGAAAGCCAACCAACTCCGCCGGCGGAGACCAGAGAAAGCCCCGGCCGCAGCCCGAACACGCGCTGAAGTGCCCGCGCTGCGACTCCACCAACACCAAGTTCTGCTACTACAACAACTACAGCCTCTCCCAGCCCCGCTACTTCTGCAAGTCCTGCCGCCGCTACTGGACCAAAGGCGGCACCCTCCGCAACGTCCCCGTCGGCGGCGGCTGCAGAAAGAACAAACGCTCCTCCTCCAACTCCTCCTCCTCCGCCACCTCCTCCGCCACCTCCACACCTTCCTCCTCATCTTCCCTCCTCATGACCCACTTGCTCCCGCCGTCCTCCTCCGCCGCCTACGACTCCAACGACCTCGCCCTCGCCTTCGCCCGCCTCCAGAAGCACCACCACCACCAGCTAGGGTTTGACCACGACCAGATGTTCAACGCCGGCAACAACTTCCTCCTCCACAACAGCTTCCTCGACAGCGGCAGCAATCTGCAGGGGCTGTACTACAACGGCGGAGGCGGAGTAGGAGGAGGAGGGTACGATGGTAATTCCACCTTCGAACAGCAGAGCCACGAAATGTCCGTGATGTCGGACCATTACACCAGCGGTGACCAACCGGACAACGAACCGATTTCCGGGCCGGCCACGACCCAGGCGGTCACGGTGACGACGATGAAGCAGGAGTACTTGCTGAATCATGGAAGACAGGAGGAGAGCGGCGGCGGCGGTGGTGGTAACACTAACAAGGTGCTGTGGGGATTCCCGTGGCAGATGAATGGGGGATGTGATAACGGCGGGAATGTGGTTGTGGATAATAATAATAATACGATGAGGATGTCGGAGAGCGGCGGCGGCGGAGGGTGGTGGAGTAGTGGTAACGGTGGGAGTAATGGTGGCGGCGGAGGAGTGATTGGTGTCGGCGGCGGAGGATCATCGGGGGCGGCTAATTGGCATGGACTTCTCAACACTACTCCCTTAATGTGATGAAAACTAATTTCATCACTACTACTACTCACTAATAGGTTTCATCATCCTTCATAGACGGAAAAAGAAGAATCCATGATTACTTTCTTTTTAGATTATAATTAGGGGGTCTCTTCTCTTCTCTTTTGGGTTTTTTTGGGAAGTGGTTGGTTGGTTGGGTGATTTGAGAGATTTGATGTTGAGGGAATCATGCATTCTTTCTCTCATAATCTTCCTATTAATTTGTTCATTTACTTGGGTTTTTAATCTTTGGTGTTTTTTCTGGGTTGGTTGGAGTGTTAAAGTAATTAGTCCGTGTTTAGGGTATGTCTGTTTTACCGCGTCATGTATTAATGAAGTGATGGGTTTACGGATTAGTCGTGAATGCGCTGTTCAGTTTGTTCAGTGTAGTCGTTGTTATGGATTCTGATACGTACGCGCCCGAGAATCGATTTTGCATTTAGGGGGTTGGTGGGAGATTGAGGAAAGGAATGAATGGAAGTTGGAGGATTGGGATGGGTTGATGTGAGTGATGGGAATGGGAATGGAAGTCTCTCTCTCTCTGGAGTGAGTAGTGAATGTCATTGAGCAAGAGGAGTGAGTGGGTTGATGGTAAGTTTCATGGGTATGAGAGGTGTGAACAGACTGAAAAATGAAAGGGTGGTAGTTGCAGAAGACCAATTTGAACAAGGATGGAGGAGTTGGTGTTGTTCTCAAGATATTCTCCATTCCATCATTGCTACTTACTTTCAGGTAGATTCTTTGCCCCACTCTCCTACACCTCATTTTAAATGAACACTCCCCCCTCCATATATACTTTCCTCTTTTGATTATTCCAAAAATACAAATAACTAGTTATATTATATGGCTTCACAACCTTATAAAGATCTTTGGTACTATTAGCATGAGCTTGTACTAGTACAATGGCACTTGCTGATAAGTAGGTGTTAGCACAGATTGACATATTTGAATCATACCACTATTGTTACATAAAATTAACAACCGAAACTACAAGATCGTGCAAGTATCTTATGCACAAACTGACCTCTATTAGATAAGAATGGTAGTAAACCATACCAGATTGGTAGAAAATCCGTGGATCAAATTGGATGTGAAATGTTAAGAATACTTTAGTATGATCTATGTTCTGTGTAATGGGGTATTCTGATAATAACTTGGTTTGGTATGGTTCAAACTATCGTTTATTGGACCAATTCGTGGATCAAACCCACTTTTCGAATTCGTGTTCGCACTCCACACGACTACTCTCCCTACTCCTCAACAACACCCAAGTCTAAACCTTAACTTTTCGAACCTCATCTCATTCGTTCATAAATCACACTCTGCCAAAGAATAGAGATGGTTGCACCTTCATTTGAAATGATGGTATTGTTTTATGATGTTACAGATGGATGGAGGTTGAGGTACTCTGACTTTGTCTATTTGTCAATCACGTGAATTTAACCATCAATATTATGCATGCCTTTTGGAATTTACGTATTAAGACAAAAAATAAATTTTTTTATCCTTGGTTAGTGGTTCAAAATTTTGTTTGATAGATCATATAAATTGTTCATTGTTTTGCTCAAGATGGTATGCCCGGTCCCATCGGTAACATACTAGACCACATAGGTTTGATCTGACTTGGACCGTGTAACATTTGGTGTGATCTCTAATATGTACTCTAAGCTCTTGATTTGTACCATAAACCGTATTCACATTATGATATGGACAAGACTTCACAATTTTCATGTCCTACTGCCAACATGTACATTCATATTGTGTATTTTTTTCCAGGTATGGTTAAATATTGGAGCCCCTAATAGATTTCAACGAACAAACCTAAAGATCCATGGAAAATATGGTACCATATATTATTTTAGAAGGGAGTAAGAGCTAGCTAGAGAGGGTAGTGCCAGTGGCAGTGGCACCAATTTCGGGAATTGATTCGGGATATTGAGAAGACCAAATCCAAGTTAAAGATTTGGGCGTGAGAGAATTGGGAGTCAGTCCACCAGATTCTCATTTAATTAATTTATTAATTGATTAGTTGTTTGTATTATGTTTTTTTTAGGGCTGCTGCTGCATTGCACATTGGTCGTCCCTTATACACCATTAAAGTCAAGGCAGAAGAATATTTTTTGTCGTTATAAAATATTTTGGCGGTGATTCCCAAGCTGTTAATCTCTCAATCTAAACACTATCATATTAATTAATTAATTAATTAATTAAAACAAAGGGATGAAGATAAGTCAGTGGGGGGTGTTTTATTCTTTGCTTGTGAGCTGCGTCTCTTCAAATTAAATGCATGGATTCTGTGGTCTGATTAATCTACCGGCCAGGTTGGCAACAAGAGAAACCCATATCCTTTTATTTTCCATTTTTCTTTTGCGCATATATATATATGATGTGGGCCCGAATGGGCCGGACCATGATTTTTCAGCAAATGTAACGGTTGTCTGTCAAGTTGGTTAGGCCCACTAGAGCAACAAGATCTTCACGCTCCCCTATTTGATGATCAACCAAAACAGATTTCGATTGGTTCTTGTTGGTTTGGGGAATGGGGAAAGCGTTTTCGGGGACATGCCTTAGCTCCATGCACAAAAAGCATGCCCAGATGTAACATTACGTAATCTCTTGAACTTGAAGGAGAAGCTGGCAGCAACTACCAGAGCTCACTCTCCAATCTCCATTCAATGTTGTGGCTGTGACAGATTGTTTCAGCATCCGATAACTTTTCTCGTGGCTATATCGCGTAATTCAGACTTGTGCCCTTAGAACTTTAATCCAGACAACTGGTTTCGATTAGCACTTCTCCCCATATACACCCTTGGTCTCTGTATGTATGCACATGAGACTTCAGACGATCATCGTGTTCAATTAGTAGCATAAACTACTGGCTGCAATTTCTCTGTTTAGAGTCTATGTAGAAAGTTGGAACTCGTCCGACCGACACACAAGAGGCATAACGATCCTCAACTATTAAGATAAAACAGGCATCTGGAAATTTCAATATGCAATAGTTAAAAGGAAGAAAGGATGGGATCAACTACGATAGGAAGGAGGAAAACAGTTGGTTTCAACGAGCAAATAAAACAAAGTGCAAAGTGATTACAGGGGCCGTCTGTAGATCTTGGTTTTTAAGTAGAGTAAACTAGGCTGAGAATTTCTGGCGAACCATGTTTTTTCCCCTCACTAAACTGCAGAGTTGAGCAACACACATTACACCCTAGAAACTCACACCTTACAAGCGAGTGGTTCGAAGTGAAGGAGCAAATTTTGCAGAGTTGTCTGAAATTAAGATCTTGGTTTCTCCTTCTTCTCCTTGAAGAGTGCCAAAAGAGACACACCAGACACTTTGACAACCTTGAACCTCACACCAGGGATATCTCCGACAGCATGACCCTTCCTACCGAACCCAGCGATAAGCACCTCATCCTGAAATTTGAGCAAAGGAAAGTGCAGTTAGTGTAAAAATGAATCCGGTTTCGCAATTAAAACACAGAGAAGTGGGGTTTAAAGTTGCTTACATTCTCCTCAATGTAGTTCAAGCAACCATCATTAGGCACAAAAGCTGCAATCTTCTTGCCATTCTTGATTAGCTGAACTCTGGCACACTTTCTGATAGCAGAATTAGGCTGCTTGGCTTCAATACCACTGTTTAGATTCAACAGTAAAAACCAAACACCATGGGGATCATCATATTAGTTCAGCTATAGACTATAGTCGTCATCATCAAAATCAAACAGAGCCAAACAAAACCCAAAATGCTGAAGCAAAAGTCAGAACCATACATCTTCTCCAGAACAATGCCCTTAGCATGAGATGATCCAGCAAATGGCTTCTTCCATTCGTTTCCAAGATTGGATTTCTTGTAGGATTTATCAGCCCACCTCTGCCTCCTGCGGTGGGACTTCAGCTTGCGACCAGCTCCCATTCCACGAGTCTTCCTGCGAATCCCCAACACAAACTTGCGTTCAATAAACACATTAACTTATGAAACGAACATAAACCAATCCGCCAGCAAACATCTACCCATTCCAATGGTTCAAACGGAGCTTCCTAGTGAATAGCTTCTTTCACAGGGTAACTTTCCCAACAAAGTTTCCAACTATTTGAAACAAGATCCCTTCCAAATTCGAATCAACTAACAGTGCGATGAGTTCCATTCAGAATTTACAAACGAATCATTTACTTCCCTTAGCAATGAATTACAATCAGAATTTAAAGCAAATGGTTAAGCAACTTTGTTGAGCAGATTGTTTAGCTTACCCCATGATTGCGTTGCGAAGAGGATCTCTGTTGTGACGACAAGCGAAGAGCAGAGAGTGGAATCGAAAGCTTGAGGCGCCGGCAGCTAACTCTAACTCTATGTGAGAGGAGAAGAGAGAAAACCCTAATTTGAGTTTTCAAGCCTTTAAACTGCGGACCTCCTGCTACTCTACTGTCTCCGGATAGTCCAGAATCAGCTAATTTTGGGCCGAGGCCCGTCCCATTTGGGTTTTGTCTCGTTTAATTAATGGCGGAATGGCCCATTATTTTCAGGAGCAGACAAGCCCAATAGCTCAACATGTAGTCTACCTTTCTGCTATTTCTGGGAAAGTAGGAATGGGCAAATGGCTAAGCTATTGACTGGACGTCGGCTCAATTTGTGTTTGAAAAATAGCAGGACGAATCAGGTTATGGTTCTAATGCAGATTGACGATAGAAAGCCCTAACATGTTAGGATTTTGTGTTTCGTATTGTATGTTGAAATGCATCGAAATAGAACGTAATAAATCACAATATATGTTAGAATGATAATCAAAAATTGAAAGGGACATGTTAATGATCGTCGAATTGCGTTCCGTATTTTATAACCATTGAATCAAGATAGAACATACTAAATCACAATACTTTAGAATCATAACCAAATTGGGAGAATGGGTGTTTGTGCCAATGCGATAGACTACTGCTATTCTCAGATTACACATAGAAACCAGATTTTTGATTCTCCACCTCATCTAATACATTAATGAAGTCCCCCCAACACAACGAGGTAAAGCGATGCAATTAACGAAATTACAACGTGACATAGACCACACATTATACAACCATTAGAATAGACTTCCAACAGAGGTTCTCATCTCTTAGCTATATTCATCAAAAAGGACTTCAAGTTGGAGCAACCAAACCCAAAGGTAGCCTTAGTACTACTGCTGCTTCTTCCAAATAACCCCAATCTTCTTCAACCCATTCTTCTTCTTATTCTTCAACAAAACATCATCATCACTCATCTCTTCCCCGTAATGTGACTGGATTCCCCCATACTTCCCGCCCAACGACCTACTTCTCTCCATAAACCTCCCACTGCTCCCTGCCCAAAGCATACCAACGGCTGCTTCTGCAGCTTTCCTCCACTGATCACACTGCACCTTCACCCTCCTCACCTCTGCCTCCATCTCCCTATTCGCTTCCCCTGCTTCCTCTAACTGCTTTATTGCTGCTTCTCCCTCGGCGGCCCTTTCACTCATTTCCATCTGCAACCTCTTGTTCTCCTCCAATACGTTCTGCAGCTCCGTTTCCTTGTCCATCAAGTTTGCCCTAATACCATCAGTTACCACAACAGTACTCTCTCTCTCAATCATCTGTTTATTGTCGCAGCATGACTCAATCTTCTTCAACTTCACATTCAGGCCTTCATTCTCCTCCGAGATGCCTTGCAATTCGGTTTCTTTATCCATCATTTCGGCTCTCAGCTCCTCGATGCACGCTTTAGCCTGCTGCAGCTCGGCCTCAAGTTCAGCCTCCCTCCGCTGCTTGGTACTGTGAGTTTTCTCTTCCTTGATCCTCTCCTCATCACTAGCCTTCAGCAAGGATCTCAATTGGGAGGCCTCATCTCTCAACGCAGCAATCTCAAGCATCTCAGCTTCATGGAACCTGAGCGACTCAACAGTCTTCTTGGCTGCTTCCAGTTGCAGCAGAGTTTCATTAGCCTCCGCCTTGCCTGCAGCTTCCATTTTCTTGCTATCCTTGTTTACCTGACTCTTCATGGTCTCTCCTTATAATCTCCTTTTTACCTGACCTTATCTTCAGTTCATCCGGGAGTTGAGATATCTGCTCCTCCAACTCAGATATTCTGCTAATAACCACAAAAAGTATGTAATGGATTGAAGTTCCCTACTGGTTAAGCAATGGAGATGTAAGAGGGACACATGGAAGATGAACAAAGAACTTTCACAAAGTTTCTTCAAAGGAGGGTGTCTCTATGACTCTATCAGCCCCAATATCACTACCAATCAAGCATTTAAAGCCATCTCTCAATCAATTCTGATGCCAGTCAGTGTTACAGAACCGCCCTTCATTAAGTTTCACCATACATTAACATGGGTTGGGTCCCCCCAATTCTGAAAGCTCCATTCTCATGCCTGAAAAAGGAGAGACCATATTCTTCTATCTTAACTCATCTGCAATTCACAGTTATCGTCAACTCTGGGTTACTCAACTACTAACAACTTACTCCCACCAGAGAAATGGAATACAGTTACTCTGGGACTGTTACTGTAAATACCAAAATGAGAAGTGACTGCATAAATGGCAAATAGCATTGCAAAGATCTGAACTTTACCCTTTCAACACCCAATGAAAAGCATTGTTTCATTAATGGCATGAAACAGCAGAATCCCACAGCGTAAATCGAAGGCCCCCATCATTGATTGCTCACTTCTCCCAGTGGCCTTCCTTGTTTGCTACCATTAGAGGACCTCAAAAGAGACAAAAAGAAAACAACAGAAGGGGCTAAAGAAGAACACAAGGAAGTACAAGAATTGTTTCTTGTTATCAATTTACCTTGCATTGGCCGCCTGCATTTTGTGAACTTAACAAAACCCTTATATTGGGGCAGAGAGCAAACCACTGTGAAAAGTCTTGGAGCTTTCTTTGAGCCTTTGAGAACTGTTTCAATGCTCCCCCCACCCTGACCCACAAGTTGCAGTAACCTGTCCATAGAGGAAAGGCAAAATATGAGAAAGGAATTATGGCAATGGAGAATCCAATGCTAGTGAAAGGCCAAAACTGAGTAAATGAAATCATGTCAAAGGAAAGAAACACCATCATCAGACATCAGCTGCTGCTCCCTTATCATTTCAATTTGCTCCACTAAGGGCAGTAAATCCAAGAGGAGCACCCGGGGGAAAAGGGCAGATATTGCACGTATGAGCAAGAACCAAATAGGCAATAGTTGGGAACTCAGAAATCTTCTTACCCTTCCAATTCTCATCTAATGTTACGACACGACATCAACAAAACCATTACTGTATGGCAAGGTCCCTATCACCAGCTAACCATGAATTGTTGTGACATCTACCCTCTCAATCCGGCTACTGTGATTAAAATATCGGACATCCAGCGCCCACAACCTTTCGATTGAACGTTCCGTACTCGTTAAATGAACACGGTTAAGATCACGTCTTTACAAATGGTTCTATAAGCACCATAGCTGAATTCCTGCTCCTCTCAATCGAATGGAAATTGTGGTACTATTGTCTGCAAGCCAGCTTAGTAGCTTTCCATCCTTCTCCCTAGTCTATAGATGCAAAGATATAGTCGTGATCTTGAATGAGCAGCAGTCAAGAAAAGTCTCCAATCATTCATCCTTCCTCCAAATTTGCCGCAATTTAGGGGGTTTCTTTATTATCAATTTTCCTTTCCTTTCCTCGAAAAGTTCATGTAAGAGAACTTAAAAAGGGTCTCAAGTGTTTTTCTGGTACATCATGATCAGTTCAGATGTAAAAGCAACTTGATCATATCGCTTTACGATCAATTCAACGAGGTCAAGACGGAGTTCCCAAATCACAATGATGAATCGTCGCCGATGACCTCACGAACGAACTCTGCAATTCCACCGCTCAATTCCTTACTTTCATCACTCAATTCCTTAACTTTCCTCCTCATTTCGCTACCCTTTTCCATCAAACGCCTAATCCCTCCTTCAATCTCACCCGCCGCCACAACCCCGGAGCTCCCCATCACATAGTCCAGCTTGATCTCCACCGCCATTCCCACCTCCTCCACCAGCTCAAACGCCGTGAACTGCTGCTCCGCGTACATCGGCCACGCGGCCATCGGAACCCCAAACCACACGCTCTCCATAGTAGAATTCCACCCGCAGTGCGACACGAACCCTCCGGTCGCCTTATGCGCCAGAACCGCCGCCTGTGGGGCCCACCCAATCACTTTCCCCACCGTCGCCGTCCGATCGAGAAACCCTTCCGGCAGAACTTCCCCGACGTCGTCGTAGTCCGTCGGGTGCGCCCTCACCCCTTCCGGTGCACCCTTCCGCAGGGACCACAAGAACCTCTCCCCGCTTTTCTCCAGCGCAATAGCAATTTCTCTCACCTGATCGGCGCCGAACGTCCCCAGGCTGCCGAAACAGAGGAACACGACGGAAGAATCCGGCTGACCGTCCAGCCACCGCACGATCTCTGCCGTTGACGAGTCCAACCCGCCTCCACCGTCCAGATTCAGAATGGGCCCCACCGGGTACACCTTCGGGATTTCCATCTCCGTAAGAGACTCCAGCGAATGGGATTCCATCTCCCTGATTGTATTTACGAGGATGCCCCTGGCTCGCCGGAAATTCCGGCCGTGATCCAGTATGATGGAAAGCCACTCCTCGTTCATAACGGCCGGGGGGACGACCTTACGTGGCAGCGGATTGGCGAAAAATGGAACGGAAAGCTCGGATTCGGTGGATTTTGTTAGATCCAGGCCCTGGTAATCGAATTTGGCCTGGATGTGGAAGGTGAAGGCGAGATTGGCGGCGCTGGAAGGGTAGAATATGTAGGAAGGAAGGGAGTGCTCGTCGGCGATGTCGATCATCGAGGTGCAGAACATGTCGAGGACGAAGCCGGCGAGGTGGTGGTCGGTGGAGATGAGGCGGGAGACGGCTTCTTTGACTTGGGGCTTTTTGCTCTCCACGAAGGAAACGTAGGTGGGGTTAGGATCGGAGGGGTCGTCGTTGTTGGGGAGCTGGATGATGCTGAGACGGGTGGAATGTTGACCGGCGGCGGAGATGGAGTTGATGTAGTCGTGGGATTTGCTGGTGGTGGAGCGGGACTTGATGGCGAGAAGGACGACGGAGAGGTGGTGGTAGCGGTGGATGAGGAGCTTGGCTAGCTCTATCATTCCCACCAGATGGCCGATCCCCGGCGACGGGATCAGCACCAGTTGCGGCGCCATTTTTTTTGGATATCTAGTTGATTGCCGATGGATGCGGAGTTGGATTGGGGCACCACCGGCCGGGAAGAAAAACACAAAAAAGGAAAGCTGACTTTTCAGAAGTTTGACTGGGGGGAAGACGAGAAATAATAGGACAAAGCCCAAAGGAGATGACTAATGACGTCATTGCATTGCTGTATGTGTGCGAAAAGATGGGCCGGCATCATGGGTATGCATTATGGGAAATAATGGGCTTGAATGTCCAAGATGGGCCGGCTGGAGCTGGAGATTGACCCAGTATGGGCTTCCTCTGGAAAGTGGTTGGACTTGAATAGGGCTCTCAGATGGGGAGGACGGAGGAGGTGTCCTTTCGGTGATGATCGGTTCGGCTATCAGATTTGGCATCACTTAAACATCAATTAACAAAAATCAAAACCCTACTCATTATAAAATAAGAAAAACATAGAGAATCCTGAATTATTGGCTTTTAAGATACACGCAATTTCAATCACACTCCACCACCACCACATGCCAGGTTTCCAGGCAAATGTGGATGAAATTAGCCGTCCAAAATTAATTTAAAAAATTTCAAGTCAAAGGGCAAGGATCCTATCAACAAATCAAGTTGTGGCATCTTTAAAACACATGACATTGATACAACCGTGGCCTCTCGAAGTCAGACACTTTTGATTAATAGATAAATCCTTATATGGTAAAATTTGAATCTAAATGACATTGACTAATTACATATTGTATTTTCATAAATAACACGAGGCATGATATTCTACATTTCATTGTTTTTACGTGTTAGTTTGAAATATATAATGATGCCAACCTCATATCAGTTAATTTATACGATCCTGTTACAATTAGGTAAACTAATAACTTTTCTACTATACGCTTTGGTATTTGAAGGTACAAATTAAACTTATTCCATAAATTGAAGTTACAAAACTATAAAAGGAACTTGTAACTTATGCAACCATTCTATCTTAAACCCACAAGGCAAGTTAAAGCATTAACCCCTAGTAGAGTCATATCTAGAAGACTAGAGGGTTAATAGCATTTTGTACCCCTCTACTATGGCAATTTAACAAACATGCCCCTCTACTAAATTTTTGCACAAACATACCCTTCTAATATTAAAACGTAACGAGTTTGCCCTTCCATCTAATTATCTGTTATGTGACCGTTAAATAACCTGTGAAATGACCCAATTACCCCTCATTTACTCTAAACCCTCCTAATTTGGTTTTAATCATTTTATTTCTTAATCAATTAATTAAAAAAAAATCAAATCCCTAACTGATTCACACGCACAGACAGACTCGACCAGAGACCGTCCGTCTCCCCTGAAGTTTCCCCTGCCGATTAGCCCTTGACTCGTCGGCGACGCCTGCTGCCGGCATCCCCTCGCCGGCGGCTGGAGGAGAGATAACCGATCATAGGCAAGACCCGACGGCCAGATTCCCGGATTCTCTCCGCGACATTCCGATGTCACCTGTTGCTCCCCTCGATCACACAGCAGGGGCGACCTTCCTCCGGCTTCTCACGCGACGTTCCGATGCCAGCCTGCAGAAGCTTGATCCCTCCGAGGAAAATAGTCATCCCGGGTCCGGATGGAGAGACTGTGATCGAGCATCTTGCACAAATACTTGCTTGGCCGAGATCTGATTGTCCTGATACCGTTATCCTCTTGGACCCAGTAACCTAGCTTTGATTTTCAATAAGTTGTATATTAGATGCTGGGAATAAAATATACAGGCGTCAAGTTTGGGTTGATTTTGTTTACTTACTACTCAGTAATCTAGCTTTTATACGTTATCCTCTTGGACCCAGTAACCTTCCTTTGTTTGATTACTACTCTCTAGTCTCTACTCGACCGCCGACGAGGAGATGTCGGGGCAGGCGCCGCCGCCGAGGAGATGGATTTTTTTTTTTTTACAATGGTCGAGTGCACTTGTGCGTTAATTAGTTAGGGTTTTTATTATTTTTTAATTAATTGATTTGGGAATAATAAAATAATTAAAACCAAAATTAAGAGTATTTAGAGTAAATGAGGGTGTAATTGGGTCATTTCACAAGCCATTTAACGGCCACATAACAGATAATTAGATGGAAGGGCATACTCGTTACGTTTTAATATTAGAAGGGTATGTTTGTGCAAAAATTTAGTAAAGAGGCATGTTTGTTAACTTACCATAGTAGAGGGGTACAAAATGCTATTAACCCAAGACTAGAAGGTAGATAGATACAAACACTTCCAACAAAACATAGAAAAACCAATAGAAAGACACTCACACTCTACAGCCAAAACCAGCAGAAGCAACCATGCAACCCATCTCCCCTGCCAGACAGCTGTCCCTACCCCCGGGGCATCCATGTCATTTTCCCCTCACCACCCTCAATTTCTTCAATTAAGCCTTCACTTCACTCCAGCCACAACCCCTGCATCTGAAGAAGCAAACAAATCGAAACTCCTCTGCCCCATTTCCCTCTCATCTCTCATAACCCCAAAAAAAACAAATCCCAGCAATCAGGCAGCGAAGATGAGAGCTACGAACCACTTGATCGGTCTCCTCAACTTCCTGACCTTCCTCCTCTCCATCCCAATCATCGGCGGCGGGATATGGCTCAGCACCAGGGCCAACTCCACCGACTGCCTCAAATTCCTCCAGTGGCCCATCATCGTCATCGGCGTCTGCATCATGGTCGTCTCCCTCGCCGGGTTCGCCGGCGCCTGCTACCGGAACACCATGCTGATGTGGGTCTACCTCTTCGTCATGTTCTTCGTCCTCGCCGCCCTCGTCGGCTTCATCATCTTCGCCTACGCCGTCACCGACAAGGGCTCCGGCCGGTCGCTGCTGAACAGGGCCTACTTCGATTACTACCTCCAGGACTACTCCGGCTGGCTCGAGGAGAGGGTCGCCAGCGACAGCTACTGGGGTAAGATTGCGTCCTGTGTAAGAGATTCCAAGGCATGTGCGAAGATGGGCGTCACCGTTAATGGCGTCCCTGAAACTTCTGATATGTTCTACCGCCGGCGGCTCAACTCCATCCAGGTAATTAACTTCCTTCTTCCTTACTCTGATTCGAAAAATCATAAAAGTTTTTTTCTTTTTTTGTCTGGGCATAGTTGGATGCTAGATAGTGAGTTAACAGAGGGCAGAGCAGAACCTCTGCAGTTTCAGACATCTATGGGTCTTTCCCTGAAGTTACAGTGGGGAAGTTGTTAAAAGTTTTCTTCTGTGCTTTCCAAAAAGCACATGCCTGCAAAAATTGTTTGGTTTAGACGGTGGCATTTTGTGGCATAGATTTCTTCAGTCAAAATTTTGAATTTGTGAAGCTCTGCTCCTGAGATGGTCGATCGATCAATTACAGGCAAGAAATTTTGGAGGAAAAAAAAATTGAGTGTTTCATTTCGTTGGAAATTTGGGATCGACATCCATAAACTAAAGTAAAATAGAATTGAAATTACCGAAACCGCCTCACCGGTAATTAGATATTTTGTGAGGGGGAAATGGACAAACTATCCAGTCGGCCGCTTGTCGTTTCCGAGGGAAGTTCGAACCCCAATAATCATGTCATGTTCCTTCCTTCCCCAGTCCCCACCATTAGCTAAAGAAATAATTGCGAAATGTAATCATGTCCAAATTGATTTTATTAATTTTACTGTTTTGGATATGAAAATCTGTCTTCCTTCGTCTTTTGCTTTGATTTATTTTAGTGGTTAGCAAATAAATCATCGTAGTGATGGAGTTAAATAAGCTCCCTTCATTTCTTTCGGCTTGTATTATAGTGCACATATCATTGACAACGTGTTTCTGCTATTAATGGGGTCGAGTCCAGTAGAATTGTGTTGGCTGTTTCTTTCTTTTATCTCCAAAAGGACTCTCCTTTTAGGTCGACAGGGGAAATCAGCGAGTATGAATGGATGGATTTGGGTCAGCAACTACAAGTGTTAACTATAGCCAAAAAGAATTGAAGAGTTCTATTAAGCTAAAGTTATAGCAGAACCGCAGAAGGGGAAAAGGGATATTCACATTCGTATCGAGTGCAAAATTATAAAGCTCGATTATTGGATCTAGTCCGATGATGCTTTTCTTGCCCTTTTCCTGGGCTGCATAACATGGTTAGGCTGGAATACAGTGTTAAGGGATCCAACCCCTTTTCCTCTAAGCTTTCCTGATTTCACTCCCAATATTTTAGTCTGTTGACTTTAGGTCATCATGACCGTTGCAATGGATACATGTGAAGGATAACCCCGAAATTAAAAAATGAATAGATCAGGGAATTGCAGGTAGATGGCTTCAATTCACAGCTCTGTGATGACTGCTTAGTATGGGCAGTGATGCGAAGAAGTAAGAATCATGTTCCATTTCGGAGGTTCTGATCTTGCTTTCTACTTTCAGAAAATCATGGAGGGGGCTGAGGTAGCTTATCTTTTTAGGTAGTTGTTTTCTTGTCTCTTACCTTTGAAATGACTCGACAACTGGTGTATTGTTATCAGCAGCTTCAGCTCTCCTAGTATCAGGACCCACATATTCAACAATGACCACACCTTGTTACTTATTAGCCCCATCCATGTGCATTTATTGTTAGATGATGATCTGGGCTGAATCTCCTAGTAGAAAGGAATAAGCTTTGTTAGGGTTTGAGAGGGAAAAAATCATTTGATCACTGGAAACTTGAGAGCCTGATGAATTCCTCTGTTTTGAATGTGTGGTCTAATGTGCAGTCTGGCTGCTGCAAGCCGCCGACAGAATGTGGATTCACCTACATGAACGAGACTGTATGGACGTCGTCAGGAGGCGTTGTGTACAACCCGGACTGCAATCTCTGGAGCAACGACCAGTCGCAGCTCTGCTATTCGTGCAGCTCCTGCAAGGCCGGGGTTCTGGCAAGCATCAAGAAGAGTTGGAGGAAGGTCTCTGTGATCAACATCGTCGTGCTGATCATCCTGGTCATCGTCTACGTCATAGGATGTGCAGCTTTCAGGAACAATCGTCGGATGGATAACGACGAATCTTATGGTCAGGCGAGGATGACCAAAGCACGACCTAGTAGCATCCAGTTCTAAACTGGGAATGCAGATTTTTATTACTCAAAAGGACGAAAAATGTATGTTGTGCAATTTTTATAGTTTTGGGTATATGCTTAGTTAGGACTGATGTCTGAAACATGCTTGGTTCTTGTTTGTGGGTTTTGAAGGGACTTATTAGTTGTATATGTTTTGCTTGCAAGAATCTGCATTTCCATTCTGGTCATCATCAATCCTTGTATAAGAAAGGAAGGCAACATGAAAGAAACTAATGTACCCACCAACTCCCTTCTCTAGACTCTTTATGTATCGTGGTGCTTCTATACATTGCAAAGTAATGCTCTTTCGGTCTTTCCAAGGTTAAAGGAGTAGCAGCAAGCATGGGAATCTTTATGTTACCAACCAAAAGCAAAACAAAAAGATTCAGCTCGATTTCTGGAGATACAGCAGCAAAAGGTGTGCGCGTTGAAGGGTTTGTTAAGTCATGCGAATCATGTCTTGTCTAGGAATGAGAAAAAGGAATCACCCATTCTTCACAAACGTGCAAATTTCACAACTTTGTAGTAAAGCAATCAATACCTGTGTGCTTGAGTTACGAGATTCCATGTTGACTGAAACGTCGGGTCTCTGTAATATATATGCATCACAGGCGAGTTTACCTAAGCAGAAAAAACTTGAGTTTTTGTAGCAACCAATGAAACTTGAGTTCCAAACCAAGGATTCCAAGAGATCACCTAAATACTATCTACAAAGTAATACGGTGCACTTACTCACACCCTACCAAACTCCTTAAACATTGTTCGATTTTGTAGCAGCCAATGAAACTGCTCATAGGGAGAGATCAATAAAACCATCACTCGTACGTTTTACCACAAGAAAAAACTCACGAGGTCATTCGTTCTATGAACGAACACTAATTACAATGAGTTAGCGCATGAGTTTTATCAGGTTACATACATATATATATGTGGCAATAGAATCCCTTTCTACAGAGAGAGTTGAACAAGAAATCAAAGGGAACATACCAAAACAGACACAAGCTATACGAACATCAAGTTGAACAAAGAAATCAAAAGGGATATATACTTGACGTATACCGCCATGGCTACAAAGATGATCAGGAGCTCGCATTCAGCGATGACGACGACCTTCACGACACTATGGATCATGCTCGTTGCATTCCTCCTCGTTGCACCCTCGACGTCCCGGATTCTCGATGAGGACCCCGACGCCTACTATATGACTCCGATCAGCGACCATGATCTGAAGAGTCGCCCACAACTTATGAAAATGGCCGAGTATGCTGTGGCGGAGAACAATAAGAAAGCCCCTGAATCGGACATATTAAAGTTGGTGAGCCTCGACAAAGGGTATTATCGTATGAATGTTGGTGGGGACTTTATAACATTTGATTTACACATTACCGTCTCCTCCGCTCACCTCGGCCAAACCAAATACAAGGCGGTGGTCTTCGCCGGAGTTGGAGTCGCGACACCTGATCATCAATATGATCTCGCATCCTTTACGCGGTTATAAATTAAATTAACCGAGCTATATACATAGCGTTTGTCATGATAATTACCCATAACAAACTATTGCAATAACAATTTGAGTTAGTATTCTATGCTGAGAGTTCATAATGTTCTTCTCGCTCTACAAGTCAATTAAAATATACAGTGCGGTTACTGGTTTGGATACTTGATTTGATGATAATTAAGCTTGATCATGACTTCTCCGTACATTATGATTAGCGAATAGCGATGTAACAAGCACAAGATATTCTAAATGAACCAGAGACGGGTGGTTACGATAAGCCACAAAATCGCCAAACTGCGACCCGGGCCTGATTAAGACGTAAGAGGGACGGTTTGGGTCGAAACTCAGGGCCGGCCCATGATATTCAGAGGCTCTGTTCGAAAATTAAAAATATGGTCCTAAAATTTTCCCCCTTAAATATATTAAAAATAAAAATTATTAAAAAATAATAAAAAATAAGTAAGTTAAAAAAATATTATTATTTTTCTTAACATATTTTATATTTATCATAAATATATAATATTTATCATGAATTGTATTGCTCTTGACTAATTTATATTGTACTTTTTAACTTATGTAATGTCAGGGAACATGTAATTGTTAATATGTTGGTTGAAGTCATAAAGAGAAATTATTATCCATGGATAACTGTGGATACCCGAAACCTGATGGAGTATGGGTATCTTTTGGATATTCTACCCGATTATCGTATACATTGTCATTCGTAAATTTGTTATATTGTTCTAGTATATATATGTTTTTACTTGTAATTCGAGCGACTATAATATACCATGTATTTCAAATACATATGAAACATGGTATCAATTGAATACCGAATTTGTACCTTCAAAAAATTTGGATATGTTATTTAGATTTACAAATTTTGAGAAACATTGTTACAATTTTCTAAACCAAAACTTATAAACATGTTAGTAAATATCAATGTTCAAGTCTACTGATGTTAAAAATTAAATAAGTAATTAATACTTAAATCTTATTTAGGTGACTAAATTATAATTTTGAACTCATAAAGGAATTTACCCGTCTAAAATTAATATACGAAGGAATAGGGAAGCCCAAGCCGCGTATAACAAATGGACTAGTATATATAAATTTTTATGGGCTGATCTGATGAGGTCCCAAAATGCTCGAGGCCCTGTGCTGTGGGTCTGACCAGCACAGAGCATGGGCCCGGCCTGTCGAAACTTGTAGTGGGTCGGGCCTCACTCAGACAAAGTTGGGCATAAGCTTACTGTTACAGGCCTCAGTGAGCTGGGTTTGTCTCCCTTCTGGGTAATTGAGACTGTTCCAAAAATCAGTCATTGGTGCGTAAACGGTGCTATCGTCGGCGATGTAAAACTGGTCGTGGAAGCACAAAAAAGTTGTGACCGTTGGAATGAAAGAATAAATAATAATTATCGTAGCGTCATATCAACATTTATTTTGTTTATATAACACGATTGTATCTTTGACCATATTTTTATTCTTCCACCCCCAACTAGTAAGAGCGATTAGATGTGAAACCGGACCGTGTTATATAAAAAGAGCCGCGAGACTTGGAGCCGCGATTAGATGTGAATCAATAATAATATTTGATTTCCTATCAAATATTAAGCAACCAAAAGCGACAGATCCGTCCGTGTACCTACCGTTTGAAGGGTTACATTACATATGTTAGTGGCAATTTAACCTGTAGGGCGAAACTATTTCCTCCCTTCTGCAAAATGAAACAGCAAAGACCAAGATCATGAATTCTGAAAGGAGTCTATCACGCCTCAAATCAAACCTCCTTCCCGTGGTCTTACTGCTGCCTCGGGTGATGAGTAGAGAGATATGTGAACAACTTCTTATGCAACAGAATTGATACAATGAGCAAAACCATAATAGTTTAATTTAATAAAAGCTATACCTGAGCATACAGGAAAACATAGCAACCATGAAAGAACAACTTGCAATACACGCAGTGGCGGAGCCACTTAGGGCTAAGGTAGGTCATTTGCACCACCTTGGCTCAAAACTATAGTAATTTTTTTTTTTATGTAATTGTGGGTTGGATAGATAATCTCCTTATCATTGTAATAATTTTATGAAAAAGTAATATTTTGTGATCTCTATTTAACTTCTGATTAATATATTTTCCAGCTGACTTTTTTTAATATAAACGAAAACTCAAAACTTATTGGTGTTTGTTGCTATTGGTTGCCATCAAAGTAGTCAAAAGCGCGTTTCTATGTAGAAGCGTTTTGGTGATTTTGAAGCGCAAAACCGTAAGCTTTTAAGATTTAAAGTGCATTTTTCAACTAAATTAGTTATTATAACTGTGATTATGCGTAGAAGCGTTTTGGTAACCTAAAAGCATAAAAAACTTAAGTTTTTAAGCTTTAAACCGCAATTTTGAATATATTAGTTGTCATTGCAAGTGTTGAAAGAATCCTTACAACAATGAATAACATAAAAAACACTTTTAGAATTAGATGAGTGATGATATCATGAATCATTTTTCGCAAAATAACTTAAGAATGACATCCATCATAATTTGCATGTAATTTTTAAAAAAAATTCAATATACGAAAATGCATCCTAAAATTTTATTTTTTTCTCATATTTGACCTACCTTAAGTGAATTCCTGGCTACGCCACTGAATACACGTAGAAAGATCTCGAGCAAAAGTCCATAGATAGAACATAAGGTTTTCGCAGTTGTAAAAATCAAAGAAGTAATGGATGCTCATCTACTTATGTGAAAACCAATTACGTGAGGATTAACATTAGCGTAAGATCAATACATTTGTTGATAGTAGCGAATGAAGGATTTTAATACCCAGAGATAGGAAATCAGTTAAAAAAAAGCACAATATCAATCATGTCTCAAACTCAAGATTGTATATAACCAATCGAATCTGAAGACGATCGGGTAAAAAAGACAGCCTCTTTATCTTGGATTTGAAATTGAAAAGCAGAGTATATAATACAATTCGTGTCTGTGATGGCAATACTGTATAGCAGCTCTCCCCCAATTAAAGATAAATTGTAGTTATGCTAGTAGAGCAATGTAATCCAAGGAGTAATCGAGAAGTAGAGATAAGATCATACTTAACCATTTCGACTGTTTGAGAAAATTCCAAATGTAAAAACGTTCATTCATTATGTGTTATGTAGCTAGATAAAGCAGCACCAGAAGATGGAGAAGATGAAGAGTTTAATTGCTACCTTTTTATGGTTTCTTTAGATACATATGAGCTGAAATACCCATCATACTGCAATCGATCAATCCCACCATGCTTCACATTTTCCCCAACAACGAATCATGCATACACTTATCTAAGTATATTTGATAAAAAAACTTCAGTTGCATTGCTCATATCTGATCTCGCAGAATAGATCCATATTTTCGTAACTAAAACCAACGGTAGAGCATTAGTACTAAACCCAACTTAAGCTCCATTAAAGGTCAAAGTAGATAAATGAATCCCACTTAATGCTACCAAGTTGGTGATCAGTTTCCCAACAGACGATAATGTTACAACGGTAGAACATTTACAAAAAGCACCAACTTCAGGGTAGTGTCAAGAAGCACTTTAAAGGTCAAAGCAGATAAATGAATCCCACTTAATGCTACCAAGCTAGTGATGAGTTACCCGTTGGTGCTGCTTGTTATGGGACAATCCAAGAATCACATCAGTAATACAAGGGAAGGGACCCTTGTATATTATAGCCCACCAATCTCATTAGTGCCAGGCCTTTTGGGGAGGACACCCAAGAGTAAAACCGTGCGAGCTTGGCCCAAAGCAGACAATATCGTACTAATTGATCCGCCAGACAC